AGTCATAGAATCTAAACTGGAAATCAAATCTCAATTTGAACGGCAAATTAGGAAACCTGGGAAGCATTCAAATCATTTTGATACCTCAAATGTTGAAGTTTGGGAAATTTTATCTTGACCTATTTTACAGACTCAAAGTCTGTAATAAATAACAACCACAAAGATACATGTAATTGGCAAAATAATGAAAATGTAAGATTTCACCCCGTTCTTTACTTTTGACCACGATGAGACATATTTGTTCGTTAACCATTCACTCAGGTAAGCTTTTCTAGTTAGCGAGAAAACTGAGAAAAAAGAAAGAAATGGAGAAAGAAGCAGAAAAGACTGGCAACAAACAGTAAGGCAGTAATATTATATAACTTGTGATTTATACAGTGATCACAAACTTGCATATCTTGATATATATTTATACTAATATATGTGATATATATAAATATTTACTAGGTGAAGAAATACTATTAATATGATTTTGCTCATCAGGTTTTACTAGTACATAATTATAAAAGCAAAGATGCTAAATATTGCAATGGTGAAATTTAAAGTTTAGCCACGTTTAGATCTACGATTTTATTACCTTCTTGAACACAAATATAACTCCCAACTTTCAAAAAGTGGCGTGCACAACGACGTCAGGTATAACCACGTAGCGACTATAGGCCCGTTCCATTAGAACCGGTGATTTATCCAAAAAACTTTGCTAGTTGCAATCTAGGAGTAGTAAATCACGAAACTCGTTGGTATATATATATATATAAATAATTGTAACTTAACATACGTTATTAGATTCCAAAACAGAAAGAGATTAGGCTATGCCAATTATACATGTTCCCGCCCTCAAGACATCTTAAGAAATGTTTGCCACTTATGTGAGAAACTGACACACAAGAATATCGATGAGGATGATATACGTATTTCGGTTGCGAGGGTCGGTTTCGTTCTGTAGAGCTATTAACTCCTTGATTGTCATAATAGGTCATTGGTCTCACAAAAACCTTAACGTGGTTTTACGGTGTATTTGAGAATAGTTCTAGGGTTGCACATTGTCAAGATGTTGAATAATATTAATGGCCATTAACAAACAAAAAGTGCTCAATAGAACAATTTCGTCAAATTGATGTCGTGGTTCTAGTTGGACCATTAATGGTTACATTCAACCATGGACGCTTTCAAGTGGCCGTCTGTGCCCTTGTTGACGTTAGTGCTGATCGTTTCTCGGATTACTTCTACAAAGGCTTCAGATCAGGATTTGGTCCATTTTCAAGTTGGGAAGTCGTACATTTACAGATACTCGTCCGACGTAGCTGTGCAAGACACGGAACCCATAGCGACACGTGCAGTGGTATGTTTTGTATCTCTATAAATATATATATATTAAAACAAATTGTATTTATCGATAGTTCTGGACAAACAGGTTGGAATTAACATATAATAATCAGCGATTATTTTTTTAGAATAATCATTAATATCCAGACATTGTCTGATTCTGACCTAATTATAACTTATAAAGGCTAGACACAACGGCAACAGGCATCGCCTTGCGATAATCACTTTTTTAATTACTGAATAACCGACCAACTGATTATCGAGACTGATTAAACTTCAAAGGGATAATTACAAATGACACGGCTGGAATATAATCTCTTGTCTAAATAAAATAATCAACCTCTCTGAGATAGGAAGTATCTTTCAAAACTTTGATATAATTTCGAATATTTTGTCATTTTGATGAAAATTTGTTGTAATTTAGATGCAATTCTGAAAAGAAATATGATTCAAGTTAGGCAACTTTTAAAGTAAATATTTGTATATTCTGAACCGTCAAGAACGGCAATCATTTGAAACTTGCCATGATTAAGCTTTAATCATTATTTTTCTTAGTGATACATGTATTTATCGTATGATCTGTAAAATGAAGCCATCTGATTGGTCAGTTCTTGTGCTGTACCAACCTGCATTGCTACTGATATTGTCCCCGTTGATCATCTCCGTCGCAATACAGAAAATATTGGTACGGAGGGGACAATCTCAGTAGCAATACAGAGGATCACACGATAAAAACGTTATTGAATGATCTGAAGTGCAATACAGGATATATTCTGTCTCGATATTCTGTATTGGCACTCGACTTCGTCTCGTTCCAATACGGAATTCTCGAGCAGAATATATCCTGTATTGCACTTCAAATCATTCAATAACTTATAGTCTCGCATAACAAGAATAAATAAATATGAGCAAATTCAAGTAACATGTCTTATATCTCGTTATCCCACCCCTCCATATTCCCCCCTCGTTCAATTAAAATTCTTTTGTATTGTACTTTTTAAACATATGGAAACTTTAAAAAGCCAATAATATCATTAGTATTGTGATAATAACGTCCCACATACATTTTTATTACAGGTCGTGTAGACCATTGTTGCCTGATTTATATGGAATGTTTTCTGCTTCATTATTAGTATTTTACAATATGTATTCGTATATTGAGCTTCTGAATTAAAAGCACATATATGTTCGTAACTTAAGTATTTTCATTCATTGTTTCCTAGTGGTCGACGGTTATGTGCAATAAATAGCACATGAATGAATAAACGCAAGGAGCACACGCGTCTCGAACTCGCAACCTCGTGGTTACGGCCCCAATCGCCTAGCCTAAACATAAGTTAAACATTGTTTGTATATTTTACACAGGTTAACCTATTACCATACGCCCATGAACAAAACCAAACAAAGATTTTGCTAGATGTTCTCCAACTGTCTATGCATCATCTAGGAGAACACAACCATGGTAGGCGATGATGTAGATTTTCATAAGCAGCATACTACCCTACAATTGGACTCTTGCCCAGCTATGAAATACTTAAGAATTCCAGATTTACATATTTTATCGAGTGCATTCGATAGATGTCTCCGTTGAACTATTTATTTGAAATAACGATGAATTGTTTTATTTTGATTTACTTTATTACTTCTCTATAATTAGACAGTTTACATCAATACAGCATTATTGGCTCGAAAAAATCAAAAATTACATGAGCGTTTAACATAGAAAAGTTTAGTAAGGCAAGAGTTGGAAAATTTGGATGTCCCAGTTAAGATTGGGTTTAGTTTAATATAGCACTGACGACTTAGTTATTGAGATGAATGATACTTGCAATTTTGTGCTCACATTGACAAATTCTAATACACCTCTTGAGCTACACCAAAAACGATAACTGAAAACAATATTGTAATAATATTCACCCTGATATCTTGCTTCTTGTAGCCAACGACAATGCTGCACGACACTTGGAGTTTAAAAAATGGTACGTAAGTGCGTATATTAAAGATGCATTATACCATAGGTTTCCCCACGTACAGACAATCAATGATGTCCTATTGTTATTGGTCATATGATATCTCACATACCATGGAATACCTTGACAATAATTAACGTTTGGGTACATTATTGCCGAAATATTGAAATAATCAACAGAACAACCAACCTCCAGAATTAAACATAATCGATTCCTCGGCTAGCAAGGGGTATCCCCATTGAGTCACACAAGCGCCTCGAACCAGGCAGCCAATCAGGTTCATGATAAACAAATTCAACGGCCAATCAGATAACAGGAGGACTTTCCCGGTATATTCAAACTTCAGATTGAATTAATTTCCGTGAAAATAATTAGATCTACCAGCACAATCGCAAAATTTACACTGAAAGAGGGGGATTTGGGATTTTTTCTTTGGTAAGTAGATGGGTGAATATGTGGTGAAACTCAATATGCAAAAAAGTCCAGAGGGGTCTTGATTGTGCTATCGATCCAATGGCACAGAACCTCTTTGGGGTTAGAGATAATGATTGAACACACAAAGCAATGGGGAAAAAGTAAGGGTAGTTCTAAAGTGAGGAGGAATTTCGATCAAACCTTTAACATTAATGCAGAGGCAGAATAGAAGTTGAAACTATTGTTAGTGCTATTTTATTCATAAGATGGCATTTTGATTTCCATTCTGTTAAATCGTGCCTCGTGGGACGTAAATTGATTAATCTCTCTTACATGTATGCTAGCACGGAAAATTGTGTAAATTGTCTCTCTCAAAATAACATCAATAATCAAACTATACAGAAAACAAATATTGAACTGATTTCGGTCAAGTAACTTTGATTTTTTAGAATTCGGATTTATTCTGCATTTTTAGGTTCCACTTCAGCATCAACGGGCATGGTGAAGCAAACATAGTGTGGTATCCTGAAGATGAGAGTGACGAAGTAGTTATACTTAAAAAAGCAATTGTTAGCCATTTATCTGCAAGGTTACATGTGTCTAACATGAAGACGAGACCTACTTACTGGGCGTACTACATTAATGAAACCGACACAAGTGGTAAGTAATTAGTTACAGATGAATCTCAAAATGAATTGACGTATCTCAAAATTGTATAATGTTTTATATTTCTAGCCCTGGTTATGATTGGATGTTTTTGGATTGTATCAAGCCATTGTTTCTTCGTAAAAAAGCGCATGAATATATTTTAGGAGTTCACCTGTCCAAATACAATGTGACTGACGGCGGGGACAAATTGACGTTTGCAAAGCAAAAGCCAAGTGGGCACAGCACTGTTCCTAACAGTGAAGGGTTTCACGAAAAGGTTAAAAGTTGTAATTACTGCGTTAAAGGTTTGTTACAAAGGAGGTGTCTATGTAGTGCCTCTAGATATCGAGTCCGTTATTTTAGAAAACCTAGTTGTATTATGTGTCAACGATTTCAGCATAACCAAGTGACTCTCCTTATGTTCAAATAATGGTTACATATCCGCCCTTTCAACTACAATGGTGATTTCAGATGGTTGAATACAGTAAGAAAAATAAAGTTCCAGAACGCGTTGTGTCCATGGTCAACTTCACAGCACCAAACAAGCCCTTATCTGGGTAAGACAGATTACATTATAATTTTGTCTGTTCACGCCTTATATAAATACAATAAAGGACCAGCGGTTGTTTTGCTCACTAATTGTATTGGGAATCTTTGATATAAACTTTTTCCTGAAATTGAGAGGACTTTGGCAATTGTAATGACAGGTTAAGAAGATACTGACATGGGTGGATATAAAATGAATTCTTGATACTCATAGAAGTTTTAATTTATACCACGAATGTTGACTCCTGGACTCATATCCGATCCCATAAACCCATAATAAGGCATATTAACCCAAACATGGTTTCAAGTAGCAATTAGACATTTTATTTAGTTACGCAACTGGCAGACGGCTACCTGGAGATCCCACTAAGGACCACGGGGAAGGATGGGCTAATGATTTTGGTGAGTTCCAACACGGTCAAATGATTCAAAACTATCATTAGATGAGACCTTTTATTCATGTAAATCCTTAAAATGTTATGTTATAATAAACATTTGGTAAAACTGAAATCAAATCAACGCTAAATGTTTCTCATTGCAAGTGCTACCTATAATGGCGGTATTATCGCATGATTATCTCCACCTTACTGCAATTCTGACAAGTGACAATCATACACGTGTCGTTGAACCAAAGGATCTAAAAGAAGATGATTTAGTTGTTCCAAGGTACAATGCTGTCAATATAAAGCCCCTTGACCAAATACGCGATGCCCTCCTTGGTAATTTATCAATGGTTGCTAGAATTCCAAATGCAGGTTAGTAGTAAGTTTTTTAATGCAATTTAATGCAATTTAGACTGATTGACCCGTTTGAGCTTTACCCTTATGAACAACTCAGTTTTATAACATGAAATCATATATATTTTAGTTGGTATCGATTCAAATTTAACGAACTATATTACCTTTTTTGTAGTAAAGTGTTACATGAGTGAAAAAATCGATCTTCAAAATTTACTTTCAGATTCCGTAGATCGCACAAGCTACCTCCAAACTGCAGCAGAACTAATGAGGCAGCTGTCAGACACAGATATTACAATATTCGCAAAAGCACAACTTGATATCCAACCAAATACATCATTTGACTATGCCTTGCAATATGTAACAATGGATGTGGTAGCAATGATGGGTACCAATCATTCACTTGGTCTAATTGTGAAATACGTGCTAAAGAATTCAAGGGCAGATGCTAAACTTGTAGCTGGGGGAATGTTGCATTTTGTGAAGCTGAAATTCCCTCCAACAAGGGTAAGTCATATAAGGGTTCATTTACATTACATTTGTATCTCCCTTTTATAAAGGGCAATAAAGATATACATACATACATTAGTGCGCAAGCTTCTTGAGTCATTCTTTTCGAAACTAAACTAAATCCAACAAAAAATACAAATTTTCAGATGGCGGTGGATGTTATTGAGGAATATGCTTTCGCCAACAAATCACGCTTCGATGGTATGTAACATATACCTATGTCCACCTTTCAATTTTTACCCGGTTGCCCACTTAATATTTTAATAAAAGTTAATGAGCTACAGCTGTGAATTGTGATCCCCAATAGAAATTTCTGGAATTAAATGAACGGGACTTGTTGAAAACAAATGATCAATTCTTTAATTAATTAATTATTTTAGATGAAGACGATGCATACAAAGTGAAAAATCGAGCAGTCTTAACACTCGGTTCGATAGCGAAAACATTTACGAAACACAATGTGGATATGGGAAAACGAATTATTGACAAGTTGCACTCACATCTCGGATACCATGGTATTTAACATTTCAGTGTGTCATAAATATTATCACTGTAGTTCTATGTAAGTTCATCTCTCTGGTTAATATATCAGAAACAAGTCAAATTCTTTACTTCAGAGAATATTTTTAATTTATTGAGACTTTCGACTAATATTCCTTAGTCTTTTTCAAAATATAACAGCATGTATACATTTATGTGACGTCATAAACAGACAATGGAAAATTTAATTATGTAACAAATGACCTAGTAACCTAAAAAATAACAACAACAAAAACATAGATACGAAAAAACGAATGACCTAATAATAACCTTAAGATAAATATATCATCGTTATGGTAACAATTAAACTCAAATATTACTATTGCATACTTTGCTATACCATTCTTAATTTACAATATTTTATGATACAAATTGTCCAACTGATACCCATTATCTCTGTTCATTTTAGGTTGCATTGTTTTAATATGAAATGATTTTTACATTGTAATATAAACTGGAACAATGTAAAAATCATTGATAATGAGAGTCATGATCTTAAACGTAGGGTTAAGGAAGCAATTCATATTAAAACAATGCAACCTAAAATGAACAGAGATAATGGGTATCAGTTGGACAATTTGTATCATAAAATATTGTAAATTAAGAATGGTATAGCAAAGTATGCAATAGTAATATTTGAGTTTAATTGTTACCATAACGATGATATATTTATCTTAAGGTTATTATTAGGTCATTCGTTTTTTCGTATCTATGTTTTTGTTGTTGTTATTTTTTAGGTTACTAGGTCATTTGTTACATAATTAAATTTTCCATTGTCTGTTTATGACGTCACATAAATGTATACATGCTGTTATATTTTGAAAAAGACTAAGGGATATTAGTCGAAAGTCTCAATAAATTAAAAATATTCTCTGAAGTAAAGACTTTGACTTGTTTCTGATTATCACTGTAGTTGTCTGAAATCGTGATATAGGAGAGAGTAATCATAAATAACGTATAACTAATTTCTATTTGAATTTAAAGATGAAGCGTCACATCGAGTAATTCGATCAGCCATGTCTGAGAGAGAACTTGACTCACACTTGCATCAGAAAGCGGGTCTTATACATGCCATTGGCAATGCTGCTGATGAATCTTCCTTTCCTTATGTTTTATCGTACATCTCCCACAGTGATACGCCATCTTTGTTAAAGCGCAGTGCAGTTCAGGCTTTGCGCCACTATAACATGGACGAGGTTTGTTATTCACGTAAGGTTTTCTGCTGGCCGGGTAATAATCCATGAATAACAGAAAATGAATGTTTTAAATTATATAAGCGTCCAATATGTCTTGCTCACTAGCATTATTTCCTTATAAGTTCATATTTATTATTCGTAGGCAGCACACCACATCTTGTCAGTAGCTCTGACTGACCCAGAGCCACATGTACGTCACCAGGCATCTATACAATATTGGATGCATCCGCATTCTGTTGATGTCCAGGAGATACGAAACATAGTTCATCTTGGGTAGGATCAATACAATAGGCATACTTAGCACATTAATCTTAAACAATATGTTTCGAATATTCTTTAATGTTTGTATCCTTGGTTCAAAGTAGTAGTTCTCAGATACTATCCTTACAACAATTCTTAATTACAAACACCTAGCAGCGTACTGGACGGAACAATAGAGAGGTTTCACACAAAGGGTTGTAGCTAAAATGTATTCGCAACCGCATCTCGTTTTACACTGGTGATCCACTCGATTACGCTGGTTACCGAAACGGTTCGTTTGGTAACAAAATGTCGGAACGTCGAAGGTAGGATTTTTCTTTTTTCCTTATTTCACACGTTGTAGGCAGAATCCCCACGACATTTTTTATCACAAACGTGAATCAGTATCATATGTTTAAGAAAATGTACATATTTGCGAACAAATAGTTCAGAAGACAACGGAATCGTCGATTTAATTCCTCACTTAAGTTACATAAACGGTATTTCGAAAAACAGTTAAGATCTGCACTTTTAACCCAACCCGTTTATGTAACTTAGGTGAAGAATTAAATCGACGATTGTGTTGTCTTCTGAGCTATTTTTTCGCAAATATGTTCATTTTCTAAAACATATGATACTGATTCACGTTTGTGATAAAAAAAAACGTCGTGAGGATTCTGCCTACAACGCGTGAAATAAGGAAAAAAGAAAAATCGTACCTTCGACGTTCCGACATTTTGTTACCAAAACGAACTGTCTCGGTAACCAGCGTAATCGAGCGGATCACCAGTGTTTTATTTGAACTGGAACTCATACGTATAAATCTGTTGAATGCGTTACGAATTTTAGATACCTTGAGCAAAAAACGGTGTGCGAAACCTCTCTAAAGATAAAAATCATTTATTTTGTAGCTATCGAAACACGAGTCTTCATAAGAAAGCAGAAGACATGTCAGTTAGACATCGGCAAAAACGAGGAATTAACCCTCTTAGTTATAAGTTAATTGATATAAATATAGAACTACCTGGAATTGATTGGAGAAAGCAAATTGGAACTGATGATATTGGTGCCAAGTTTGGTTTATTGATAAAAAACGTAATGTCTTTGCAAGTAGGTATGTGGTCTATTAGATTTATATATAATCATTCCTGTCAAAAAGAACATACATGTGCATGCAAAAGTAACTTGTTGGTAGTTAGTACATAAGCTTAGCTCTCAAATAGAAAAGCAACTATACTGCGATTCTTACTTACAATAGTAAGAGTTTTGAGAATAAAATAGTTTCATTGATGTATCAAAATTTACAGTGCCAAGTTGAATTATAACAAAACTATAATCATATTACAGAACCGTTGCGTGGACATTTTCTCGTTGATATCCATGATATGGTCTATGCAAAAGGTGTACTCAAATTCCTTGGTTTTGATCTCGATTTTGTTTTGGCGGAGGTGTGTTTCAATGGAGAAGTGAAATACGGGCTGAATATTTTCCAGGTAAATTAACGAACTCCCGTGCAGTGATATATCACTGCGGCGGGCAGGTATCTCACCGTAAGCATGGTAACATCGCAATAAACAACTGACGTGATTGGTTCTAGTCCCATGCTCAGATCGCGTGATTGTAAAATTTAGACAATTTCATTGGTTGAATTGCGCGTATTAACTAATAAACAACACGTGCGGTAAATTTTATCAACACAACTTTTACTCAGAAACAAGTACATCTGTGACAAAAAGGGGGACTATCTTCCCCAAATTCTGGGGATTCCATAATCTGCCCGCCGCAGTGTCTATACCGAGACACTGCATAGGAGTTCGGTAAATTAAACAAAAATATTGTGTTAGATATTATTATCTGTTAAAATCAAGACTCCCCAAAACGTCGAGAAAGTTATTTTAAAACCTATTTAGATGTGTCAAGGAAACCAAAAATAGTGAATCTAATACAAATGGGAATTTATAAACATAGATCTTGATCCTAGCCCAATGTATTTCAGGAATTTGGCTTTGACGATGCCCAAAAACTTGTCCAGTTGTACGATGTGATTGCAAATAAAGTCATTGGTAATATTAAACGGGTAATTCAGAGGTTTGACGCTATGATGAAACGTCATCAGAAAATAAGCATATCAGATGTTTTTGATGTTATAATTAATGCAATCAAGGATGTTCCGAAGAATTTAAACCTGGATACATTTTTTGACAATGCGCTCAAACAATTTGGAAAGTACAATGGACTACCTGATGATGTAGTTAAAATTAAAGAAGCAATAGAAAGGACAAACACAGTTATCATGGATATCAAAAAGGCAATCTTGGAATTTTACAATGTAAGTATACACAGATTATACTTAATCCTGTTGTTTTTCAAAATTTTGTATATTCTTTGATCTTGTGTATTTTCAAAATATTTGGTCTGAATCAGTTTTACACCATCCACATACTGGGATTCCTATTTTATAATATTATTCCATTTTAATGTGAACCAAATATGGCTATTACCACTCATTTGAGTTCGAGTGTTGGCAGCATAGTTCAGCCACTATTTGTCAGAGTAGTAGCTTCAGAGTACTAAACCTTTGAATTCAATGGAGTAGACAATTTTGAATTAACCTTTTATATTCGACATCTGTTATTTTATCGTTCTCCACGAGCTGTTCATCTATTAAAACGATAGTCTCTAAACAAAACGTCTATCCAGTGTTCAAGGTGGGTTTTGTAGTAAGAATGAGATTCACCCTCAACTATCTCATGGTTGTATATGCATAAACGTTCCCGTCGAGGAATATTCCAGTAACGTCCCGTTTAAACTTTATGAGATATCAATTATTCATTTTTTTATTAGTCTATATCAGATGCCGTCGAAATTGCCTTACCATGGGCTGCACAACAAGTAGAAGAGGCGCTGGTAAATGCTGCTCAGAGCGTGAAAGATCTTCTGAGATCCCCAAAGACAGCAGTTGCAACCGTTGCAAAATCTGTTATGCAGTAAGATTTATTTACCTATTGATAAATGATATCATAGCAACATTTTCAATAAAAAAAACGTGCGACCCTAAATTACTATATTGTAAAAGATCATAATCGAGATCAACATGCTGTCTTTATATAGAAATTTCTTAGAATTAAAAATCCACTTGTGTTAAAAAATATATTCATATTAATTACTGTACATGTAAGTCGAATAAATTACAGGATAGAAATGGCAATCAAAACAATATATGATGCAAAAAGAAGAGTGGAAAACGCATGCTTCTTTCTGAAAGGTTAGTCATAACCTGTAATAACCAGTAAAAACATTTTTATTTGCCAAACATGATGTGACTTTTACATCATAGCATGTGACTTTGCATTTTCCTTAAAAGATTTCCCCGATAGGACGATTAAAGCATAAAATAGTAGGTCCAAAACGTTATATTTTATTGTAAGAACAAAATGTGTATGTATCAAATGAGTATGTTTATAGATGAAAAGCCATACTGGTGGGATTTGAAAACAGTGGTCATGGGAATAATAGAGGACATCAGAATGTCAATAGGGTTGTTGAGAAACGTTCAGGAGTGGACAAATAAAGCAGAAAGCTCTGATGATGAAATTGATTCGTTCTATCAAATTGATGCTGTAAGTTGCCTCGATTCTATTCCAGCATAATGTCGACTCGCATAGAGGCCTTCTGTTTATAAGGATACATTCTAGTTTTTGATTTTGAGGTGTTATTCTTCATGAAATATTGTAGATTGAATTTTTCCTTAGTGTTACTATTCAAGTTTTCATTTTTATATGCTCGTGCCTGTCATATGTTGAGATTATATTCTCATTATAGTGAATTGTTTCAGAAACAAATGCGTAAACAGATACTTACTGAACTACTAACGAGTCTTCTGGGCATTGAAATCGGACTAGGTCCATTGGCAGATGTTCTCCTACCCTTCATTCAAACATTCCAGGATGTAATTACGTGTGTTCAAGATATAACAGAGGCATTGAGAGGACTTAAAGAAGGGTAGATATATCGTTTAATTAGAAGAATTATCAAAAATGTGAAAGCTTTTCCGAACGAAGACAAGTTTGACAATTTTGTAAAATTGAATTGAAAAATCAAAGACAACTTGCCTTTTTGTGAAATAATGTTTTGTCCCTTTTGACTTCTAGCGGATTAGTGTGTAGTTTGTTGAAGAATGTATTTGATGAAAATAGGTTGACAAGCACAAAATGGGCTGTTTAATTATGAGTATCCATTTGATGCACGTCAGTGTTACATCAAGTGCATTTACTATATCGAACGTATGTTCTCTATTTAGGTATGAACTAACCAAATCTCTAATAGACAACGTATTTGGACCGAAGATATCAAAGCGATTTCCACGTAAATATTTGCAATCAAAGAGTTGTGGCGACGGGTTTTATCCATCAACACAGCGAAGTAGATATATGTACAGTGGCGCACAACTCCAAGTATCAGTTGGATCAGCGGTATGTTAATTTCAATAAAATTGCAACAAAATTTACATTTACTATCCCTTTTAACAAAAATAGGCAGCTTTTACACACTGGCATGGTTGATGGAACGTTCGGTTCCGTTCCATTCCGTTGTAGCCCAAACCAGAGTCCCCTGAATACATTCAGCTGATTCAAACTGAACTGAACAGAAAAAAGTATTGGGTTTTCAAAATATTTCGCCAAGATCAAATGTTCAACCAGTGATTGATCTTAACCTTCCTTGTTTCGATTAAGAGCTATTCATTCACAGCTATTCATTGAAACCAATCAAACCAAGACCCATTAGATGCAATTCATCACGTATTTGGTAGGCCTGTAGATAAATAATTTCGTAACTGCATATACAAGTATTTCTATATAATATTCACACAGCAATTGTGCTTCTCATTGTAAATACGAAAGCAGTACGACCTTTTGCATTTTAGATAGTTGTGCCGTTCTCCGGCAGATTATACGTCACTTCCAACAAGGAGGTGATCATCCATGTCCAAGAAATGAAAGACACAGAACTTATACTTGTCAACGTTGCCGTCTCTTCGAAAAAGCATAATACCACGGTAATATAGCTATCAATATATAGAAAATATAGCAGCGAGCATAATTAAGTCGTTATTATTTGATCCGAGATCTGGATCAGATTTAATACAGTGCATGTATGTTAAGTTTAAGTTTAATCAAATGTTACAATGTGCTACTCTGTACAGGTTTACAAAGGCGAGCACCTTGGAAAAGTAAAGAGAGTTTCGGGTTGTCAAGATGGCCACATCCACTTTGTTTTGAAGAAGATAGGTACCGAGGATATAATTGATCCAAGTCGGTATTTTGAAAAGAGAAAGATGGAGAAGCCGAAGTGGGTTCAAGCATGCGATGACTACAATTTGATCTGGCTCGTAAGTCAGCACATTTAATTAACTATTAACGATTCCATGTTTGTAAAATCATAAAGATAAACTTTTATAAAAATAGGAACACAATTTATGTATAGATATTCATATCATATTTTATCGTTTAGCTTGACATCACATGACACTACATTTGTATGTAAGCATAGTTGTAACAATCAAATGTTCAAAATGCTTCATTCTTCGTCAATTTCTTCAATTATGATACGTTGCATATAACCACATACTATCACATACTATACCTTTCAGGGAGACGTGATAGCAGAGGGATCCATCACAGGTGGTCCAAAGGATATTGACACTACTCCTGAGCAAAAGGCTGAAGTAGATACTGATGACGCTGATTGTAAATATGTAACTTATGACATTTGTATATTAAATAAGTAAACACACTGGTCTATAAGAAAGCCAAAAACCGAAGTTCAATGAAGCGAACAATTTAAAACATCGCAACCAATTATGAAATTACTTAGAATGTGTCAATATATCCCCTTTCCTAAAAAGTGAGATTAATCTTATCACGACCCAAAATCACAAAACTAATGGAAACTACCAGCATATGGTGAGGTTTGTATTGTTTTTTCAAAGGTTCATTTATGATATCAACACAATACAAAGTAAATTAACTTTATTTTTCTTCAGTGTTAATTAGCAGGACCAGACGGAAAAGAAGCTTCCCAACATTTGGAAATATTCTCGATATGAGCGGGGCTGACATGTTCGCTCCCCTGTTAGAACAAATGGGCGTGCCAACGATTACGGAGTTTGGACCAGATATCTTCCAATTCAGTGTGAAAGATTTACAGATGAAGCACGTTATACAGTTCCTTGAAAGTTCAAATAACCAAGCGATGGTAGAAAGAATTTACAAATTAATCGAAAGCATGACGGTAGGTCATATTATACACTTTTTTGTCCTTGTTGTCTATCCTCTCCAATAATCCAATTGTTTGATTATCGGAGCTATATTGACGCACTGTTTGGAGACAGGTCTATAGGAATTAGTATTCTTAAACGAAATCAATTGCATTGCAGAGTGGTATTTTTGATATACACGGGTGTACCAGACCAGCAGAGCATGACAACACTGAACTGCAACACTTGCTGATATTGCAAGGCAAATCATCTGAAGGTCCCAGAGAGGTGTTACTTGACCGTATTTATCAACTGGAAAACGGTAATTTGAGCGTACAAATGAAATCTCTACAAAATAAAACTAATAAAATTAATGTGAGTATAACTCAGTCTGTCCAATGGGCCATTAATTTGTAACATAAATGCGTTTTTATGAAATCCATTTAAACCAAAATCGTCATAATCTTCCGACCTTTACTTTTAGTCTGTCCGAAACTCCTCGAGCAGAATCCTACTCATAGTTACTGCAATGTGGGTCCAGATTGCATTAGTGTGTCCTGTTGTGTGGACATACCAGTATTCTACGGACACGTTGTATCAAGAGTTGCTCTAAGTGTTAACCCATGTGATCACGTATTAACAGTAGATATCAACAACTGGAGATTTGAATATTCTATTGGTGACTATAAAACAGGTTTTGAATTTTTATTATTTTTACAGATTTCAGTTACATTTTACAAGTGTAAGAACACTCAAATCGCTAGAAGGTATTATACAAGAATGTAGCCAGGGTAGGATGGATGTTGTAGCTTAATATAGGTAGCTACTGGTAAGATAAGATAGTACCAATGCCTGTTCAGCTATTAGGTTTATTAATTATTTTGAAAGACTGATGATATCAAATTGAAAAAAGTTGCCCATGTCCGAGACGTGAATTGTTGACTTATTTTATTCATACCCGTCAAAGTTTAACATAAACAATTCGATTAATCGTGAATTTCTAACAAAAAACAGGTTGTCTCTCAATCTGGATTTCTCAGGTGTGATGTTCTCATACAATTTATATACTTGTAAACGATTTTTATTTGAATATGCAGTATATTCGTCAACAAACGGTCAATTGAACTTAAACATACACAGATGATAGTTATGACATGGGATGCATCTATAATACAATCGTCGAATTAGTTTTTTCAGGGTTGAAATTCTTCCTTAGTCTATTTAAGAATGTGTTTTCTACTTGAAGATATTGGTGTGACAGAGATGATAACTGGGGATCACAATAGCATTGCTGTAACACAGTTGAAAGCGAACATGAAGATTTCCAAAGATGGACAAAATATAAGGGTATACATTTTACAGAAAAACTAATTAAAACACTCAAAATAGATTACACGTGTAATGGTTAGAGTTGTCAACAGACAAAATAAAACGATAATATATCATCCGTTATTTGAGATAATGAGCCTATATTTAATTTAAAAATTAGCTCAATATGACATGTCAATTTTGCTTAAAACAACATTTTCTTTGAAAAAATACATTCCTTATTGTTTTCAACAATTTAGATTACGTTATCTCTCGCGTTGTGCTCGTTAGAGGATCCAGATATATGTACAGACCCCCTTGATGTTTTCAATTCAGCTGAAATCAATGTACCAGACCCCAACAGATGCGATGACCAGTATCCACCAACATCAGTTGATTGTAAGTGATCTAGTATGCTATTCAATATTTTGTTATTTGACCTAGACAAACTTATACTACAGAAGATCAGATTACGTTATACTTATTTATTTCACAGTGCTCGATGGAATGACTTTGGATGGACTTGAGAAAATCATTGCAACGATAGATGGCGGTAGCATGTCCGACTTGATGTATGATATCCGAGGAATATATACGAGCCTAGTATGTAAATTTTTCATTAATGAAATGATTTTTCATATATAGCTTAAATTATTGATTTATTCGGTATTTGATAACCGTTTATTTTTCGATATTTAATATACACGACATATGCATTGGTGCTTCTTAACTGCCACGGTGATGACTTTATATTTATTTATTTTAGCTAAGTGAGGCAATAAACAAACTAGTGAACGAAATATCAACAGAAGACTTTGAGTCATTTGATGTATGCCTCGATGGGGAACATATGTTTGGACCGTGGAGCAAACAGTTCTTCTCAGTAAAATTTCAGACGATGGCAGGACCTGTTCCAATTGTATTTGGTGAATATATGGTCGAGCTTTTATATGAATTAGTAATATGTTGTAGTTATTTGATTTGAGGAATTAACACATTTGTATGTTTTGAGTTTTTTTTCAAATGTATCGATCCAAATAATTAATTGGTAGCACAATGTCGTATTAAGTTTTTGTATTTATTAAGGATTTAGTGGAGGGGGTTCTGTAGGAGTACAATTCACTTGTGGTTTCTGCATTCTATCAATGAAAGTAACGGTAAGATAAACCGACATTGTTCTTATTTAAATATATCAATTGGATAACCCGTCTTACTAACCCAAAAGTTACTAAAAACAGCTGGTTCAAAAGCCAACTGAAAATCCATATTGGTAAACCGCGCAAAGTAGACAGTTTCTCCATCTAATAGATCTGAACCAACATCAGCTAGGAATACAATAAACAAAATATAAAATGTATTTACGCCTTACCCTTTTCAAGGCGATTTGTGACTAGGGATTTGTAAGAATCTATCTTTTTCGGTGGGACTTGTTACTCAGGGGGTTGCTGTTTTTAGTTTACATTAAACAGATATTTTTATAAAATAGTTTCTGAGTTATCAATCTGTCTTTAAAATTGTTGAAATTCAATGTATGTATTTATACAGGGAGGAGTTAAGCCTATGTTGGGAGCAAAAGTTAAAGGCTCTCTCGACGTTGGTATTAAAGTACTTAGGGCTGAAGTGAAGATTACAGGGGATTTAATGACAACGTCATTCCCAACAAGAGCAGGGATTGGATTCAGCAAATTCCCTTTGGATGCAAGGTCAGTATTATACTATAAATCTAATATCGTAACTCAATGAAGGGCTAAATACTGTACGAGCTAGATTTCTAAAGAGCTGAAAGTGAAAATTATTTTTATTTCTTTGCAGTATGCGAATGGATTTGGAGCTTAAACCACTGCGTCTTGTATTAGAAATTGGTGTGTATGGGTGGTTGCCTCGAGTTGGCGATCATGAAATCTTGAAGTTTAATTTATGGGAGTATACAACTCCTGTAATTAAGAAGAACATTTTCCAAATCAATGATCCAAAAACGGATGACTCACCTCCAGACTTCAGTGTGTATGCGGTATATAAAACTACGATATGTAGTATTTTTTATATTATGACTCATGGTATATCTGTTATAACTGACCCCTGTTATGGTTAAATTGCTTCATTACATTTAGCATTTTGACAGAAAGCCTCGTGACAAACAATTTTGTTCCAGTCTGTATCATTGAAATATGAAATATCTTCTGAGACTACATTTTGAGATGCTGATATCATCTCTCATTTTTCAGTGTTTGTTGAGTGTTCATTGCTTGTTTCAACGTTCGATATTGCATCTGTGATTCAGCATTTATGCCAACTGATGAAACAATTTCATTATTTGATATGATCGTACCCTTTTTTAAAACATCACATATAAAATTTATACCAAACTCACGTTATCTACCTTAGAATGTACTTCCATTTTCCTATCGAGACCTCGGGTTTCAACTCCCGCCATTAAAGTCGACGACGTCATCGTTGTTTCATGAAAAGACTCATGAAGAGTTTTTCTGTGTCATAGATAAATGTGTTTTCATCGATTGCACAAATATACGTAAAGATTAATGTCAGAAAAGATTAAATATTGCATTCAAAATAGGACACTGGTGTCCTCCACACGGAAGTTCAGCAAAATGAAAAAAATATCCTTCAAAAGCATTGCTTTTCAGCAACCGGCACCTCAAGAGTTGAAGAGATCTTCCCAAAGAGTTGAATGCTCCGTCAAGCAAATAGCAAATAGAGACCATACGGAACCTGCGTTTCTACTAGGCGTCGGAGTAGCAGATGGAGAAAGTCAGGTTGACATGACATATTGCGTCGGAACATATAGAGGTGGCTGCGACGAGGTTGCTGTCGAACCCATGGGAGGTCCCTCAACAATTGTATCTATGGTATGATTTTTGCTCTAGAAACTTGGTTTTCGTCATGACAAAGCGCGCTCATGAGATTCCCTCTCAGATAAAAAAACAAACAATTTACCCTTTCACAAACGTATATTCGATAAGGAATTAACATGTCATACAAAGCTAAGAGAAGGAAGAAGAAGGATCATAACCGTGAAGAAGGCATAGGGTAATGTGATTCCAACCTTGGGAATTTCCAAGTCTCCATCTTTTTAGCCAAGTTAATCGTATATCTTTTTAAAGTTTTATCTCATTCATTTGAATTAAAGACAAATATCGATTAAACATACAATAAAAATTCAACTTGTATAGGGACTAATACTAAAACCTATGGATATTCCATGAAAGTGTGGGAGGCACTAGCACTAATACTAAAACCTATGGATATTCCATGAAAATCTGGGAGGCACTAATACTAAAACCTATGGATATTCCATGAAAATCTGGGACTTTCTTGGAACAGAGAGTAATAAGAACAATACATCTACAGGGATGTGTGAAACAGAAATCGAGATAAATCATAGATATTTTCAATGTTATTTTCAGCCTTTGACATCTGGCGTACCATTGTACTTTCTAATAATTGCTTTGAACAACCAGGGTGCAAGTGCCAGCATAGAGTGCGAACTGCCAACATATGATATGACTCTACCAAAAGGTAGAATGATTCCTGATTTCCACTCAAGTAGTCATCCACACATACTCAGGGCATCGGGAATGGCTGTTGATGATTCTCCTCTCAAACAACACGCTGTATGTTTTGTTATGAGTATTTTTCATCATATATATTATATAATAGCTATAATGTCGCATGAATTTTATCCTGGCTAAAGTGATACACATGAATTAAGAGTAGTAAGTTTACTTCAGAAATGTTAAAGCCCACATATTAAGTTTAACCATTTTGGCTTATATTGTAGTCTCACCAAACTTTTTTTCTAATTTCAAAAAGTAGATATTATAAAAAAACTTTTAGAGGCCACACATATCTTTTTATAAGCGATAATTCACACCAATGCTTAGGATATTTGATGATTAAAAATTGCAACTTTTGAATTTTTGAACTTTGAATATTCGGGAAATGAAAAGTTGACAACTTTCTTGCCCCATAAATTTATTTTTCTAAAACCTCGAAAATAACTTTTAAAGTCATGACAAAAAGTGAATGAATGATAAAAACAAATTTTCAAACGTTACATGGGGACTTTCACATGTACATTCTAGCTTGCGATTGGATATGGTCATGGTTTATTTTGTGATCAAGAGGTCCCCTGGCATATTATTGCAGCTGATAAGTCATCATCGATTGAACATATAGATGATGAGTTTGATAATGGCATACTAAACCATTTCACAAGTAAGTTCAAATTCATATGCTTTACTCACGTGCAGTAAGGGTACTTACGAATAACATTTGAATAGTTTATTATGAATATAGTAAATATTCAAACAAATACAAAAATACAACTTATTTATATAGAGGGCAAATGATTATCAAATGATGCTTAAAAGAAAGTATACTTAAATCAAAAAGACTATCATATCTGTTTATTATGAAGCTGAAAGGCTTGGTAAGCTGATTGCAAAGGCCAAGCACCCAGTAAAGCCTCACATTGTTTCATCTTGGAGCACTCCACGCGGTTGTGCCAAGGAATGTATGAAGTATTCATCAGCAAAGTGTACAAGCTTTAACTATGACTTTGGAACAAGTGGAACTTGTGAGTTACTTGAATTTGTGGAAGGCAATCAAGCAGAACTTCACGAGGTAAATATACGTGTCGTATAATGATGTGAATAGTTTGAGCAATGTCAATATACGAGATATACAGGGTGTCCTCGAGGTAACGAGTGACGATTTTTAAGACGACTTTACTGTTGTTACTCCATGATTTTCTACTTATTTTGAATAGATAACAATGCAAAACAACAAAACAATGCCTACAAAAGAAAGTCTAGTATTAACCATGGGTTGTAGATAACTAAATTAATGACACGGTTATTTCCGGATAGTGTGTTCATATAATGCCTCGTAAATAATATATCTGAAGGGACACAATATCTCACTTAAAAAATGACAAAGATGAATGAACCAATGATTTTAAATAATTTATGGGTTTCCAATGCTGGGAAGATATTAATTCTGTTTTGTTTTTTTATCAGTCAGGCCATTTCCACCACTTTGAACGACTTGGTGCAGGCCATTATGGAGAGTATAGATACGAACATCTCAGCTTGTCCCACAACACGATTTACTATTTTAACTACCAAGTTATCAACACACTGGGTAAGTATATGTATAAGATCGGTTATGCTCTTATCGTATGCAATCTATATATTATTTGCATATATCATTATGTAACATCATACTTTTTCTAGAATATGAAAGCATTCTTACCTCCAAGTCAGTGATCATTGACTTTACTCCACCTTCTCCTGGACCAATTGAAGAACCACTTTCAATGGACTTCAGACATGACCAATGTCGGGATGTTACAACTGATGTATATGCCACACGCTGCATTGAACCGACTCCACTTGATAATCACAGGTGAGACGAGCTGTACGAATGGAATATTTGATTTAAAGTCTTGATTACTCCATGATAAATTTCATTCACTTCTTAATATTTTCTCATGATTGGTTCCAACGTTTCTTATTTTACGCATACTAAATAAGTTCAGAAAGATTATCATTGAGTAATGTCTTGCAATTCACGTGGTTTTCCTATTAAGTATTTCCGTGAGGATAACATTTCACCGTAGAGTTATACTTTAAAAGAATAGGTCACTTACATTTTTCTAATTTTCCTTCCAGGATAGTTGTTGACGGTGTATCAGAACCCGAAGGTCCACATTCATTTTGTGTATTCAATGGAGACAAGGATATGTTTGACTTGAGATGGACAAGAGATAACAAGTATTGCTCTGGTATGTCCATATATACATAGGTGATATACTGTTTTACAAATAATTTGTTTTTATGAAATACAATTGTGTCTAATTTAAAACACATTACAGCTAATTGGGATGGATTCCATGACAATGAGACTGGCATATTTGGCTACTTAGTCTCTGTTGGAACTGACCTATGCCTAGACAACCACCACACACACAAAGATCCACATAGCCATATCATATTCGAGTCTGAATGGACACACGAAGCAATGCTGTACCCCCTACACATGCCAGGTAATAAATACAGTTCGGTTTAAAAAAGGTTATTTCAAAGCAAAATAAAAATGAGAGATGAGAAATGAGAAATGCTTTCATGTCTGATGTTAAAGTTGCATTTAATAAATGTTTATATCAATATACGATTTTAGATGAATACTACCATATAAACTTCAGTCATGAAGTTAAAGTTGCATTTAATAAAGGTCTATACGCAATTTACTATTTTAGATGGATACTACCATATAAATGTAAGAGCATTGAATAAAGTTGAGTTTGGTGGCCCGATGGCTCTAACGGTTTGCCATAGTTTGCCTTACATAGTGGATACTACACCCCCATTTGTCAACCATGTCCTGACGTTATCATATGATGAATATACATATATGATAATAATGACATATAACGTAAGGTATGTAAATCAGTCACATCTTTTGAGAACCCCAAATTGTATGAATTGATGAGTCGTCGGATCTCTAGTTATTATGAACCAATTTAAATATTGTGTATACTACCAACCAGCAGATATCAAAAACATGACAATCAATTACACTTACAGTGATCCTCTATCTGACATACGTGAAGTCGACTTTTGCCTCGGAAGAAGCAGGCGTGATTGTTACGTATCTGACTGGGACAGATATGCAAATACAAGCCACCTCGAAAAAGTACAGCATATCCCTGATGGAATTCCGAGCTGGCCTAAAATAAGAGCAATAAACAATGGTACAATGATATTACACACTTATTTATCATAACGATATTTTTATAATTTAATTGGAAAACCCATAAAGGTGTACAATGTATTGAGCAATTCATTGTACAGTGAATTTTTGAGCAAAATATACAATTTATATTTTAGAAGGATGACATGAATAATTTCTTATTTTTATGCCGCGGGGTAAAGAATCTGTCTTTCATCTTTACTCCATCTTATCCCTAATTCGTAATTTTCTGTTTTAGATAAATAAGATACACCACAAAGTATATGGCTAATGTATGTAAACACATACCATTTGGTTTGGCAGGTTCTGGACGTTATCATCAAATACTCGCAACTTTTGACGATGAATATTATGTGGCTTTAACTTTTCAGAATTTGATATGCTCCACCTTATATTGCAAATTATATTTTTGCAGTGGACCTAAGAGATGTCGGGCCAGCCGATATACCCATCATTGTAGACACAACTCCTCCAATAGCAGGTGATCTATATGATGGATGGGTGCACAATATAGATATAGATTATCAAAATAGGAACGATATTTTATGTGCTAATTGGCAGAACTTCCACGATCCGGACAGCGGATTGGGTAAGTGGCAACCCATCAAAGGATGTTACTTTGCCTGTCCATTACTCAATTATAACTTAAACTTAAATCTTCAACGTAGCTTAAATGAAAAGCTCGTAAGATAAGATATAATACAGTATTTAGTATCAAATACTATTGTGTAATGCTAGGAAAAACCAAGGGCATTTCATAGAAATTCAAACACCAGTGTTTGACAGTGTATAAATCTTTAAAAGAATACAATTTTAACATTAACTATCACGTATAAAGGAAAAAAGCGAGGAATGAAACAGTGCATTATCATAATTATGCCTTTAAATATTTTAGTTGGCTATAAGATAGGATTCGGAACAGAAGAAGGCTTGGATGATGTGATTCCATTAACTGATCTGGGCCATTATGAATATGATACATGTATCGCTTCTTTCGGAAACAACATCACTGAATTGACACACAACTCTACTTATTACACTCTTCTGTATGCTTTCAACGGAGGTCACAAACTGCTGAACGTATCAGTAATATCAGATGGAGGTAATTATTGATGCTTGATTTTTTGGGGTGAAATAACGCATCGGAACATTTCGAAGATGGGTATATACAAAATGCTGAAATACAATGATAAAAATGATCATTGTTCACGTTTTAGTTTCCATTGACATGACGAATCCTATACGAGGTTGGATGAAAGATGGCCTAGATAAAAAGATTGATAGTAACTTCACATCGAAAACAGCCAGCGTACAAGTCAACTGGGGTGGTTACCAAGATCCCGAGTCCGGTATTAGTGATTACTCATTAGCTGTATACAGAGGAAGATTGTCTCATGATGCAAGAGATGAAACTATGATAAGCATGATACATCAACCAGAATCAGTTGGCAACGGCGCAACCAATATCAATTGGCACCACTTCCATCATCACCATGGCGACTTCATATACGTTGAAATGAATACAACAAATGGTGCGATTTCAACTATAACAACAGTCTCTACAGGAGTAACTGTTGATCTGACGGCACCAGAAGTTCAATACCTAAATGATGGAACAATTCCCCGAACAGACGCCCAGTTTTCTGTAAGCAATAAAAATAGCTATCATTTACACAACTGACCCTGTGCTAGATGTAATGCACATTTCTTCCTTCAATATCATATTTCCCAAACGTATCATATAGAAATAATTAGTCATTGCTGTGCACTCATTTTGATTGATACAACATAATTAATTAACAGAGTAGTCTTGTGGAGCTATCAGCAAACTGGCTCTTCCTTGACTCAGAGTCTGGAATAAACCACCATCAATTCACAGTTTACGAACTCCATGGAGGCAACAAGAGACAATTGTTCCCTATTGGGTAAGTCAGTGTAGAATTAAACAGCGCAGCCAATGACAAAATATTGTTTGATAAAATTCGGTTTTAGTGAATAGCAGTACATAATGTGGATGGATTGAATAAAATATACTTCATGTCAAAAATGATTCGGGTACCAGATGGGAAGTGAAACATATACATACTATGGACATTAAACATTTTGATATAAAAATATACTGTATAGTACACTTAACCGTTACTTAATCTTTCGGCTTCTGGATGTATAACTTAATGTTGGTGTAAAAATCAAGTAAGTGAGCAAGTCGAACACTAATTGGACAGAATGTTAGTACAAATGCACTCACCTTCGGTTCGTGCTTTGTACAACATTCTGTCCAACTCGTGCTGAATTTCACCATATTGAATGGCCTATCATTATTTATTCCTTAATTATGTCTATATGCTTCAATTTTAGCGATGAACTATTAACGTTAAGAGCGGACGTGAATGTTTATAGTGCCACCGACTTGAATCTTAAACCTGGAGCTTTGTATAACATTCGTGTATCCGCAGTGAATAACGCTGGTCTTACAACAGTACATAACACAGATGGTGTGAAGATCGACCCTACTCCCCCAAGGGTTTGTACTTAGTTCTATAGATTTATTTAAACAAAACACATATTGGTAGTTCATGAAATGCAAGCCAGTAATGAAAATTAACTACATGTCATGTTTGGTGCTGAAATAGTTTTTAGGCAATATGGATGCTTCAGAAATACATGCTGCACTCTTGAATGTTCGGATTATAGATGCAGTACGTACGAATAGGTGTTTCTGATGGTGAAATGGAAGATGTTATAGATGGCGTGGTTGTATCTGCCGATAATGCTGGTATACAAGCAACATGGCTAGCTATAGATCCTGAAAGTGATATCAAAGACTACTATGTTGCAGTGGGGACATCTCCAGGTGAGATAGTGTGTGGTACTTGTTATCATGAATTAATTAAATTTACTTGTAATGAATTAATAGAATCAGCAAGCATATATTGTAATGTAATAAGTATGTATTGCACAGCATTATCCATGCAAAGTATCAGTGTTTATACAAAGCAGATTAGCATGTCGCTGCCATAAATCGAGTTGGGCATTTCCTCTGTCTTTACGAAGTATGGGGGACACTTATCCTGACTGACCTGACCTGTGCCTACTTCAAGGACGGATACTCGCCGTTATTTAGTTTAGTTAAATGTCCATGCACATTTTGTGGGATAACTGTGTCTTGTAATTGAGGTAAACGATGTGCACAATTGGTTTATATCAAACATTGCATTATTATTCTGTATAAATACTTATTTTAAACTTGTATATTTTCGCATAATTATAGATACCACTGATGTTTTGGAGTACCTTAGTATGGGGGATGGTACTAATGGTTATTTGGGTAATGTGGAACTGGAGCGGTTCGATCCTAAAATACATGGTCCTCTTTATTACATCAACGTTAAGGCACAAAACAAAGCTGGGCAGTTTTCAAGTAATATGACTTCCAAGTGAGTGAATCGTTAAACAAAAAACTATCATTAGCGATCTAGCAGTCAATACTAGTACGTCGAGTATAAATTGGTTAATATTTATGCTATATTATTAGTTATGTCCCACCTATCCAGTAATGCCATTGAAAGCAAATGAAGGAATGTAAACTCAAGATTGATTTTTTAAAACTCCGAGGCTTTGGGTTGCGGTTCATGTGTCATATCAAATATGTGTTGGAGAGAGACGTTTACAGTGGTACTACTTTCTCCTTATTTTTACTTACAGAGCCGTTGTTGCTCGTAATAACAGTTCATTTTATTTCAAATATAATCTAAATATTATGCTCTAAGGCCCCTAAAGATAATTGAGGCAGATGTTGCTGGAAGAATCATAGATGGCGTGAAAGGGGATCCAGATATAGATGAACAACGGGATAAGATGACTGTAACCGCACACTTTGAAGGTTTCAGGAGTGGCTTTGGTAAGTACATTAAAGACTGTCAAATTTGAATTGTATTAAAACATAGTTAGGTATTATACCATTCAGTTTTAATTTGTCCTCTTTTGATTGGAGTTTATCAAAGCAAAACCATGGATCACGTGATGATATGAGTATCATGGTATGAATTTACTATTTTGAAGGATACACTAGGTTTGAATGGGCAGTTGGGACGGGTCATGGATTAGATGATGTTCGTCCATTTTCTACAAGAGGGATTATATTAGATAGTGATGATGAAACGGATTCTGGTTTAAAAACGAACTATTCCGGAACAGTTCATGGTCCTGTTCACCTATCACATGCACATAGATTTCATGTGACAGTTAGAGGAAGAACAGGCAAGAGTAACACGTTGGAGGGCGTATCTAATGGCTTTATCATTGATGTAACACCACCAGAGGTATGCACGTCTTACATGATATTAGGCTTGCCAAGTTACTGATTAGACACAAAAAATATACTTTATGAGTTAGAATCGTGGTTCAGAAATTTAAATCTCATGTATAGTATTCAAGGAAAATGACATTTCATAATGTGTAAGTTGACAAAGGTCTATCAATACATGTTTTAAAACATTTCAACTATTTTTCCAAGGTATTATTAAGCGATGTTGGTGTAGACCTTAATCTGAACAAGACGCTGATGACCAACCCGTCTTCTCTATATCAGACATCAATGGACTCTTTGACTGCTGATTGGAATATATCTGACTCAGAAAGTAGGATTGCATGGTCCAGCTATTGTTATGGTACAATACCAGGGCGATGTGATGTTCATAGTATGACAGCGATAGATGAAGCATCTGGGCTGCAAGTCGGACAAGTCAAACCAGCCACAGGAGGAAAACCAAATTTCCTGCAAATTCTTTCAGAGAACAAGGTTATTTAGAATTGAATTTCGGGTTTTCATGTTCTGTATGTTTTTTTGACATTTTGTTACAGTTTTGTTTTGCAATCGAAATGTTCTTTCGTAGGTTGGACTTCAAAAACGACGTCACAGCCCTCCTATTGTAGCAGATGACACTCCGCCCTTAGAAGGAAGAATCAAATGCACGCAATACCTCAAGGAAAATGAGGAAATTGTTTGTAGTTGGACGGGATTCGTAGATGCAGAAAGTGGCATTGACAATTTTTCTGCTGGACTCGGTGAACAAGAAGGCGAAGATAACGCACATGAATTTGTTGTTCTCACCCCTTATACTCAAACCGTCGTATTCAAAGGTATGGGCATTACTTAGTGGAATGATTTGAATATCGCCTGAACTTAGAATCTATGTATCTTAAGTCAAAACTGTAAACCATTATTTCTTCAGAATACAGAAATACAACTCTTCCAATGGGTCGATACTTTATGACTTTGAGAACATCAAATTCTGCTGGTTTGATGTCAGAGTCATATTCTCTGCCCATTATTGTTGATGGAACGCCTCCAGTAGCTGGGATGGTCGCAGAGCTGAGTGACATAATAGAAGTAAACTTCTCCCTTTCTGGACAAGGACTGGCTATTAAAGAATGTTCATCTAGAGAAGGTAAAACAATATACAGATACTGACATGTCAGAAAAAAAGAAAAATTCAAATAAATATTTGAATGACAATCTCTTTATTTTATTTACATCAACTTTGAAAAACTGATTTGCTGAATCATACAGATATATATCTTTTAGACTGTGTGGATGCTGATACCAAATGCCAAACTTCAATGACAAACATCCACGCAAGTTGGGTGCCCTTCCAAGATGACGAATCACCGATTGTGAAGTAAAAAATATCATACAAAGTAGTGTTTAACCCCAGCTATTGTGTCCTTTTTAAGCATTCGTAAAATCATAAATTATGTCAATAAAGGAATAGTCACGTAGTATAATATTATCTTTAACATACATGTATTTTTGGATCATGGTGGATATGTTTCTTTACAATATAATTCTCATGAACTTACTTTTAAGATATGAGGTTGCGGTTGGTAACACAGTAGGGGGTACTCAGCTCAAATCCTTCTTTGAAGTACAACCTAATACACATCTTGTTAACATACAACATCTTGATCTCACAGAACAAAGACAGGTCAGTACAATGAAATTACACTCTGATATAATTTTGGTCACATCGATTTTCAAGTAAACATCGATTTTTGGAGATCACAAAAAGTTTAAAGTTAAATATAGCATTTAATCTGATCATATGTGATTCAAAATCGAAGGTGTTTGTGATGGTAAGAGGGACAAATGCAGCTGGACTTTCCTCCGTCTCAATATCAAATGGAGTTTTCATCAGTCGTATATCTGCAGGACTTTCACCACTGGGTCTTCTTACTGTATACGATGGTCATACATCGGGAAAAGACATGTAATGTAGACATTATATTATGTGCATTAATAAATGAATTTAAGATAAAAGTTGATTTGCAGTTATAAAATAGCCAACATCAAAACAGTAATGCATAGATGTATGTCCCCTTTCATCTTGCACCCTTTATCTGCAACATAATGCAATAACCTTGTTTTGCAACCTTTGAATGCAACCTATGAATCTGTATCTTCAGGGATTTTCAAACGGATCGAGAGAGGTTAACTGCAAGTTGGAACTTTAGTGGCGATCTATGCCCAATGGAGAATTACACGTGGAGCATACTTCGACTAGATAACACTGTTTTATTTAAGCCTGAACAACTACCTAAAGGTAATATAGTATAAAATAGGCAGGCGTAAGGATTCGAAATAGTCTGACATCCGACTTGTGGCATCTTTAGTAAATGGCGATAGTTTTCGGTCAATTCCCCTAGAGAAGCAATGGTTGTAATATTTTTTCTTTATATATTTTGTTGAATTTAAACTGTTTAATCTGTTGACAGGTCAAACTTTCGGGACATATGATGGACTGAATTTACAAGATGGGGACGAATATTTTGTAACTGTACAAGGAGTAAACTCGCTTGGATATGTCCATACAGAACGTTCAGATGGTATAACTGTAAGACAAGAGCCACTTATGCCTGGTATAGTGCGTGATGGGCCTGTGTTTGGAGTTGATTTCAATGTACAACCATCTATTACAGAACTTTGGGGAAATTGGGATGCTTTTGGAAAAACTAAAGAGGAAAATGAGGATTTAATTGGTGATGGTAGGCAGAATGTTTGTCATAAAAGTAAATCTTCATTATTTCTCTCAGAGGCTCAAAATTTCATGGTTTTTAAATTTGTCTTTGTCTAGGAGACCCGGACCTTGATCCTAGGATAGGAGCTCATCAAGACATTATCTACTACGATGTTGCAGTTGGAAATGACCGCCGCTATGCCAACACAAGAACTAACATTCATCCCTTTGTTCGAGTAGGCCTAAATCGATCTTGGCATTTCACAAATTTAGAATTATTGCCTGGAATAGGACATTATTATATCACCGTGAGAGGAGTTGCTAAATCTAGTGCATCGCGTATCCAGACATCTAATGGTATCCAAGTTGGTATTGGTGGATCAGTAGTAAAACAAGGAAACTTGCAGCTTGCTGGGTATTTTACTAATACAATAATATTATATGGTATATGTGAAGCAATTGTGGAGAAGTATTATTCTGGTCACTCTTTTGTGTATTTTTTTTATTTGTAATATCTTCCATTTCACTAGTCATTCTCTGAAACATACTTTATATATTTCTAGATGCATACCGTCAACATCGGACATATCGTTTTCCTGGGACGGATTTGAATTTGGTTTACCTGTAATGTTTTACCAGTGGGGTATCTCTTCCAATCTCTCTGCAGTGGAAGGTCTGAAGTGTCACCAATTAGTAAGTGAAATATATGTGTGACGGTGGGAGAGCGGGCATAAATTAGGGCTCGAGCTCAAATTAAAGGGCTGATGTACAAAAACACATAGTACATGTCTTCTCTCAATGTTAAAGGCTTCATATAAAGTATAAACAATTTTGGCTTATATTGTAGTCTAAATGTGATATGTGAAACATCTTTTTAATTTAAAAAGTGTTTTTTGTTCAAAAAAAAGTGAATCAGAATTTATTAAAAACTAATTGTATAGGTTACAAAATTGATAAATAAATCAGCGAGAAACTAACTATGTGCTTGAAAATGGTTCAGAGAAAAATGTATTTCAAAATATTTTAGTTCTCAATCAGTTCTAAATAGAAGCCAATAGTTAATTATTATTTAAAACATAATATATTTTCTTTTCCGGTTTGTTTAGCATGTTTAGCAAAGAGTAACAAATAAAACCTATTAACATATTTGCAAAATAGTTTTGCCATCTAAGTGATGCCACGAGGGTGTCACTTATGTTGCATACTTTTTACTATGCTTATACATTTAAGTGGCACATTTGACCTTTTTGCTACTGAACTAGCAGTGTGTCCTTTGCTCAGTCTATGCAGTGGTGTTAAACATATATTGTGCTTTGCACTGTATACTGGAATATTTGATGATTAAACAATTTGAACTTTCTTGGAAAATGGTGGAAAATTTGAATATTTGAGAATTGAAAAGCTGACAATTTTTTCACAAATTTTATTTTTTCAAAAATTTCTTAAATAACTTTTAAAGTCATGAACAATAGTAAATGAACGATAAAAACATATTTTAAAACTTTGTACACGGGCTTTAAAGTTTTTATGGCAGCCATTATGGATTCTTGTATTCAAAATGCTTTCTCAAACTAAATATGAGTGACAGTAAGTGAAATGAGTGAGAACTAGGTGAAATCACCGGTCTAAAGCATTACGAATCGAAAAATACGTTCATATATTTCTTTAAATCTTTTATTTTCAGCAATTGTTTGAGCACAAGGTTATTGTGAACTCCATATTTCTAGACGCATTTGATGTTCAACCAATGTTGAATGTTTTGAAAGACTCTTATGCCGAGCGAAATGGTTTAAGAATGCTACATGGGAAAACTTACCTAGTAGTCGTCATAGCAACTGATGAATCCTCAATCTGCTCTATGGTTACCAAGGAGATATTAGTCGATGCAACACCTCCTATTCCCGGAGATATCATAGTTGGTCCTCCAAACGAGCTGGTATGTACAAACTAACCGACAATTAACCACGAAGCGATACGAATGAAATCTTCCCACTTAGAGTTTAGACACAATGTTTAAAATGAGCTTTAACATTAATTCTTTCATACTTAAGGGCGTTATGTTTGCTGATCAGTCTGATAGACTAACAGTGTCATGGCAACACTACACAGATCCTGATTCACACATAGAAAGCTACAGACTAACATTATCTGAAGGAAATATATGTGGTTTTGGAGACATGAGAGCCCCATCCATTGCGGAAACGGATATCGTTATTTTGAAACCCAATGCAACAACCTATACCTTCTATCAACTGTATTTAAAGGTACTCATTTCGTATTATAATGTTGCCTTTCATATTCATGAATGATAGGCATGCTGAATGCGATCGTGTGAATTGACATTGACTTTCGACTTACTTTCGGTTAACATCGATCGTATCACATATGTTGATGAGTACGAGGATGTATCCATAGATCTTATGAGATGTCCCTAAAATCTAAAATTGTATATTACCTACCGTACGTATATTCAGATATTCTTTCAATAAGAACAATAGCAAGTATTTAACTTGATACCTAACAACTGCGACCGATGTCTCTTTCAGGAAGACAGACCTTACTTTATATATTTTGAGGCAATCAATTGTGCCGGTCTTATATTTGGCAACTACACAGCACCAATCTTGTTAGACAAGATTCCCCCGCTACCAGGAGATGTTAGAGATGGCAATGATTTTATTTCAGATGTCGAGTTCCAAGCCTCAACAACACGTATAAGTGGTGGGTTCACTGATCTTTACAAATTATTTACATAATTGACCTTTGTGAAGCTATACGTGGACAAAGAACATGGCCATAAGAATGATAAAATTTATCGTTATTACGATATTCATATGTTTCGTTTACAAATATTATGTAGTTTCCCATAAAGCGCCAACACATACTTCATTGTACATTACGATAGGGTCTTGTTGATTTATTGCAGCTTCATTCCTACATCAGGTAAGCACTTCTGGAGACGCAGATGCATGTCCTGAGAGTTTGATAGATTTATCAATGGCAACTTGGAATCCAGTACATCACGTTGGAATATTGGGCGTCGAAGGAAATGTAGTTTATGAGAAACACAAGGTCAGTAGTTCCGATGTAAAAGAAATTAAATCAATAGAGAGTAGGACCAAAATTTGATAGGACCACCTACCCTTTTACACCGGTAGTCGGAATACGACTACTGAAATGTAACAAAGATCGATTGAATGACAGATCATAGTTCTGAGTACGATAGAAAAGAAACGATACAGGATTTGCTCAGGAAACCACCTTTCCTTTTTGATAACGCATGGTTGCATGATTGGCAGTTTTGGTACTCTATACATTCTTTCGACTTCGCTTTTTAAAGTACAGCTTCTTAGTTTATGACTAGACTCTTTGCACTTGGTACAGTTTTGGCTCTTTGTTTTACTTACAATGTTGATTACATGTTTTTTTTATCATACCACTTTGTTTTCTACTTTGTCGCCCTTATAGTCGAAGAGTGAACAAGGTGTTATTGAGTTAAGAATGCTTCCTGATGTTAAGACAACTAGGATGTTAGCAGGGGCTGTTGACAAGGAGATAGATGGGACTTCCGGGAAGTATAAGGTACTTTAAAGAGTGAAGCTATTAGTGTAAGAAAGAGTTAATAGGTGACCTTACATCTTCCTCTGTGACACGCCAATTTAATTTTAGTTTTAATTTTATTTCCGTCTTAACCCAATAAAAGAGCAGTTCATCTTATATTTCCCCCGTTAGTTCAATACAAAATTTATTATAACCATTTATCACCTCTTTTTCGATGTTTTGAAACATCGTACCGTCGTCTAGCTAACATTGATCATTTCCTTTATTTTAGTTTGAAATAAAAGCTGCAAGTTGTGAACTGTATGGGGTCACAAGTGTAGTGTTAAGGGAAGGCCCACCTGGCATTTTTGTTGACTTTGATATCAATATATCAGAACATATAGCAGTTGGTAGGTTATACATTTATTTTCATTCTTTATCACGTACGTCATATAATCGTGTATTATGGAATTTCAATATGATTTCTTTAATTTGGCAGTTGATGCTTTGCTTTAAATGACTCAACGTACACTAACTAGTATAATATGTATCCCTAAACAGCCAATGATTCCCAGTCCACTGAGTCCAAAGGGAGTGGCCATGAGAATGTGGATACATATTACTTCCCATTGGAAGATGATAGCTACAATGGTCCATCCAATGTGTCAGCATCACAAAATTCTTGTGGATTCCAGCTTCATCCAGGTAGGATATACGATTATTGCTATAACATTTAGCGCTTCTGATAACGTTTGTAGATTATAGATATTTGCAACTACATAATTTAACTGTTTTCAGTATTATCTCATAATACATCGTGCCTTGGGCTATGTCCCATTGTTACGGATTGGCCATCAGTTTTGGTACATGCGTTTACACATTCTCGAGGCATTTTATATGTAGCTGTATTTGAAATATATTATGTATTAATTACAGCATTATTCACAAGCACTAGTTATGTTGTCGTGTGGTGTAAATGGCTGCAAAATTACAAACAACCCGAATTTGAAGTTATTCCCCTGACATTTGATCCATCAGAGGCCTTTCATACGTACACTATCATATTAAATAAGGTACAGTACCATATGTACGTGATATGTTTTGTTATTGTGATGTTATTTTGTGAATTCTGAAATCACAGACAAAGGAAATGAGGTAACGATGAAACTACATTTTCCATTTGGTATCACTGTCACATTTAATGTATTTTATATGACTATTATTGGAGGCGAGTAAATTATATATCCCATTATAGGAGGCCAACTCGATCGAGTTCTCAGTTGACGAAAAAGTGATAGCAATGATGTACCAAATTCCGAGCTTTGAAGCACCATGTCTGCTAAGCCTAGCAGTTAGAAATAAGCAGTTGTTTTATCCAGAATCATACGATCCTTTCAATCGTCCTTATGTTTTCGCTTCTTTTAAGAGAATCAGGTAATAACTTGTCGGAAACTAAGGCAAAAGAGATTTGTTCTTCAATACAAGATTAACCGTACTTTAAATTAATTTTAGAGAAAAATCAAGATACTATATTATCATTTCAGATAATAATGACAGTTAGCAATAAATTTAATATATATTATATATTATTCTTATTGTTTATAGATTAAATATTCGAGTTGTATTTTGCACGTTTTTAGTTTGCCATCGGATAAGGGAACATACTGCAACTATGGAAAACCTTTCCAAAATACTGGGACAAGCATAGTTTCATTTAGTATGGGACTGGGTACTGGCAAAAACGAGACAGATGTGATACCATTTAAACAGGTATAACAATTAACGCCCCTCTATTTGCTTATTCTCGGTACAAACACTAATCGTAGATTAATTGTTTACGAGGCCAAACCGAACCCAATTGAATTGTGAACTTAACGTTGAGGGCAATAAGGTTCCAGAATATAAGATATGGTAAAATCTAGAGTCTCATAATTTCAGCACATTTGGTGACTTTTGTGTTTTATTATATGATTAAGGTGATAAAAACATGTCTACCATGCAATGCTGCGTGTGATAGCCTGTTCTGTGATGAAAACTGTAATGAGCTGATGAAGATGTACGACATTGTTTGGGATGACCTTGAATTAGAAGATAAACAAATGTTCAGTTCATCACTAAACAAAACTGAGGCTCTTCCTGCTACATATTTCGTACACGTTAAGGCAATAACTGGTTAGTTTCGATGAATGGTTGTCATGGATGTCGTAAGATAAATAATTTATACTCGATACCTTCTCCCTTCATTTATTTGAGCGAAATGGATCTGGTCGTTGTACTGTTACAAGAGAGGACGTGGTCACTGAAGTTATTGAGGGTACTTTAGACTAAAGATACAGACAACCATGAAACCTTTTATATTGAAACGTAAATTAGATATACAATTTCTTCAAAATCTTAATTTCCTCAAATCTGATACCTCCAATTTGTTAAATTTCCAGGTTCAGGATTGTATATAACAGCGACATCTAACGGTATTACGATAGACACGAGTGGTCCATCGGTAGACATTTTGTATCACGTGGATGTTTCTGTCTCTGATATGAACAAGGTATCCAGTCAAGGTCAGAACCACACGATCGGTGCCAGGTGGGATGCATCCGACATTGAAAGCCAGGTTGGTATCAAGACATGAGGCTCTGATTTTCGCATTGGCTGGGGGTTCGGAGATTGGGTATTGATGCAAAACAAGGAATATCTCATTGGATGGCATCTTATTGTTTTTTATCACATAACTTCTGTGCAACATCGGGGGAAGGGGTCGACTTTTGTTTGAAATGCATATTTTTCAAGAAAATGTGGGTCAGTTGGATAGTGCATAGGCTTTATAAATATTTTTTTTAAAGTCGTCGAGGATTTTCTTCGTTTGATTCCAATATTTGAAATTATATCACATTAAACAGGTCGTCAGTTTTGAATGGGCAATAGGAAGTGGACCTTTCCTTACTGATATCCAACCATATCAGATGATGGGTAACAAGAAGTTTGGCAAGAGTGAAGATCTTAGAGGAATTCTTCAAGATGGACACATTTACTTTGTCTCTGTCAGGGTCACAAATGGTGCTGGTGGTCAAACAACAAACTCTTCTGCTGGTATTTGTTGTCGCCAAGTCCAAATTATAATTAGTATACTCGTATAGATACTGTATATACTTTCGACTTTAATAAAGGAATAAACTTTTGTGGAAAAAGAATGTGAAAAGTAAAAATTTAGTTATCGCAAGTTTCTTTAAAACCTTTAGATTGATAGTGTAGATATTATCTGTATTGACCCATTAATACATTATATGATTGTGCATGTATACTAGTTGAAGAATAAAAGTTAAAAAACGTTACAATGTAATTAAAGGAGTCATGATAGCGCTACCAAAGGCTGTAACGACCTACGTTGAGGTGAATACAACATGCAGGTCGAGCTATGATATCCCTATTAATCTGGCAAGTGATGCAACTATTTGTAAGGATCAATCTGGAGTAGGCATAGAATGGAAGAAGGAAATGACAGAGCCTCTAGACAATGCTATAACATGTAAGATATTATTATATCTACTGAATATAATATATTTTGAAATATTAAATAATTAATATAAATATTGAAGTATAATAAACTATAATATAATTGTTGTTATAATATAGTATATTTATATAATATAATATGACTCTATATTATATTGTGTCATATAATATTACCTAATAGTACTTGTACAATATAATATACTTTGATATATTATAATCATTAAGAATGAATTCCATTTAGATTTCTCTGTTGGATCGTCTGCTCAGTTGCATGATGACATCATTTCCAAAATCGCAATCGCTCCAAAAGAAACAAAGGGAGGATTTGAGATTGGATCCGTTAAGGTAGAAGATGGTGTGATCATAATGGACCCATACGGGAGAATGAATGTATCAGATGCTACCGGAGTTTATGACCCTAACATCGTTGCTAAGAACAGATTCCGTATGGAACCAGGAAGGTATATCAATTCAAGCAGGAATTTTTCTGCTTTACTGTTTGATCAGTCATACCATTAGAAATATTTGATTTCTTTGCTGAATATCTGGATAAATTTGTACCCTTGGGTTGTTTTCGCGTACTTTTTATGAATGTTCGCAGACTAAAGAAGCGAGGGAAGGCAACTCCAGGAAAAGTTTACACCAAAATATTCCGACATATATACGTATATTATTGCTTCGTTCTTATGGAGTTAACGTTTTTAGAACCATACATGCGAACATTGAGGTATGTCAATCTGGCGATGTGTGTTCCGTAGTTGCCTCATCAAAACAGCTAGTCTTGAGATCTTCAGATATTATCAAGCCTGCTGACGAAGGATGCGAACTTTCCATTGACTTGTCTGCAAATATACGCATTCACGCCTCTGGTGCACAGACTGACAGGCTACTGGCGTGTGGAACTTTGAATGAACATGATCTACGAGAAGAGTATATCTCAGATGGCTCGTTAAACTTTAAACCATATGTAGTGAACCCAAGGACTACAATTAACAAAACAGACCGATATCTGAGAAAGAGGTGAGACATCCCATTTATACACTTAAAATATATTAGTGTACCAGTATGCAACGATGCAAATATAAGTAAGATCACTATCGAGTTTGTATGAACAAATGTTAAAAATATTCTAACCTCATTGCTTTCGTGTTGAATGTGAGCTCAAATAATCTGTGAAAGGTCTAAGTATTTGACTTTAATGATACATATCATGATGTGCCTATACTGTTAACTACCTTCCTCCAGAAGCCATTCAAAGTAATTAAAGTCCGTGATTGTTAAAACGGAGTGGTATAAGTGACTGAAGTTGAATGAGTGACTGCTAAATAAATAGATTTATATTTAAGATTGGGAAAATGGAGTGGTATTAGTTTCTTTGTAAATACGGTGGACGATGATTTAGATGGATTCTTAACTGTGGTTATATCAGCACACAGCGTTGACTTTTCCACAAGCAGCCTTACTCTCATATTTTGGGACGCAGGTAATTTGTATCAACAAATATCAAATATAATGTCACGCGTTATGCTTTGAATTATTGTATATAAGGTAAACCAATCAAAAGTTAAAATTATTATGCAAAACAAAAGGGAAGTGCAAATGCAAAATGCATGTAAGATTACCAGAAAAGAAAGCGTACGATTTACACACAAACAATAGAATAACAGTTACACGAAACTATACAAGTCTTCGTCTTTTTAGAGCTAATGGTGTGGAGGAACGTGAAGACAAACTGTAATAGCGCGGGCACAATACCCGGAAATGGAATCATTACGTTTCACGTGTGTTCAGATTATGATATGTCCACTAAGAGACATAAACGGGAAACAACGCGTTATGGTGGTGAAACTCAGTTTGCCCTGAGTGAGGTCAATGCTGCTTACGTGAATACACATCCACGTATTACATCAACCAATCAAATGAACATAACAGAAGACGCGGATCAGTTATACACATTCAAATTGGAAGCTGTGGACGAAGAGGGGGATACATTTGTGTTCTTAATTGACAACACAAAGCCAAGTCCTGTTTTAGGTAATGTTACAATTGAGCGAGACGGGACTTTCATCTATAGCGCATTCCCACATCATTACGGCTCAGATCCGGTGTACTTTATCGTCCAAGAGCAGCCAACAGATACTCAACAGCCATTAAGAACATATGGAACAATTACTGTAAACATTGAACAACAGAATGACAATCCGATTACTGCTATAATATATGATGGAACCTACAATGAGCCAGTTCCGAACTATGGTTTGGAGTTCACAATGGAACAATCAATAACGAGCCAAACAGAGAGTTTGAAACTGATTCTATCAGCCCACGATTACGATGTCCAGGATCATCTGAGCTTCTCGACAGTCAATACAACTAATGGCACCATCGCATTCTCAGATCCAATCACTAATTTCACGTTCAAAGAAGTAAACTGCTCTGATCAATATCACCAGGAAATACTTCGTGACTGGGAAAAACTATTCAGCGATTTTGAAACAACTATACCGTACCCTTGCAACTTTCCTAAACTCCCATTACCCACTGAACAAATAAGTTGGCTTTTTTACTTAGTAACTTACACTCCAAATAAGGATTTCTTTGGAAAAGACGTGTTTCAGGTAATGGCTGAAGATGATCATGGTGCCCGTTCTGACCCATTAGATATTAACATATACGTTCTCGAAAACAGGTGTCAGAATAATGCTGCCTGTAATGGCGACGCTGTGAATGATAAATATTGCACGAGCACCAACAGAAGCAATGGATTCGATGGCTACGGCTGTGATTGCAAACCAGGTATGAATTTGTTCACATTCTATGTAATTATTGAGATTAAATCTATTTAGTGGTAATTTTTTGGGAAGTATCTAAGGGATAGAGCTACTACATGCGAAACTTCTTTTATACACTTATTGTCAAATTCAGGTATATCCAGGATATAGCATTAGGTAGACTATTATGGACTGGAATCGAAGGGCTACAACATGATTTGCCAAAGATAGTGTGAATTTAAATATAAGGTAAACTCTCGACAATTACGTAAGTAGAGCAGCTAATATCACTATTAATTTGATTCATTAGGTTTTTCGGGGCTTTACTGTGAGGAGAATATAAACGAATGTCTGTCATCCCCATGTCGACCAGACTACACGTGCATCGATGGAGTGGATTCATTTGTGTGTTACTGTGATCCAAGTACCCCATGCACTGGATATCCATGGTGGGCATGGCTCATCGTTGGTTTTGGTGCCACTATAGTGATCGTAATCATAGTAGCGGTGATTATTTGGAAATGCAAGAAAACTAAGGTGAGGAAAACGGTTAATCACTTGTAATAAAGTCCTCCTTACATTTCTGTTTGTTTATAATAATTGAGGCTCCAAGCTTAACGTTCACAAGATAACTACGAGCGCATAATATAGCAAGTGTCCCTCGGTGCTGTGGTTTCTGATTGTTATAATGGTATTTGAATGGTAGGGGGTATTAGACATTGTTTCTTTTCACGTCATATCACGGTCCGGGATAGTTGGGGGTATGTTTTCCTTATGACTTATGTACTCTAAGATGTTTTATTTATCCTGCTGCGTTGTGTAACAATTTTTGGTCCTTTCCCTTTGGCACTTTGTGAGTATATTCAGGAACCTTGCCAATGAAATTCGAAACATGGGGATTCCAAGGTACCCCCAGGCCAACAACCAATCGAGGATTATATACATGTAATCCTTGACTGCACTACTAATAGTTGCACCTGTGAACTTTATTGAATTTTGTAAAAATGACACCACTAACTTGCAATATCTAGTTTTGCTAAAAGTTATACATAACTTTTTAATTATAAACAGTTCTGCTCTTCAAAGACCACAGGCAAAACTATAAATATTGCATTAACCACGTGATGTGCTGTTATTTACTTCAGCAGCAGAAACCTTCAACTCCTACTAACTATGCAGCGGGTGTCAATTCGAACAGCATACCAATGAGCGACATGGCCCAGCGAAGGTTTGGTTTAGACAATCCAATCTTCGGCTCACCATCAGTTTCTGCCATTGATAATGTTGACATGTGGCCCAGCAGTTCAGGTGCATTGAGGACAATGACAGGGAATCTCCGAACCGGAAAGGCCCAACAGCAAACAATGTCTCCAGTGTTGCCTGACAGGAGGAACGTGTCTCAATCACACCTGCAGTATATGCACGACCGAAAACAAATGCTAAGTGAGTTGAAGTCGAGATATCTGCAAGATTCAAATGACCATCGACTGTCCAACGTAGATGATAAATGGCCAAATAAAACAAACCCTGTAGAAAAGGCCCATTTGCATAACGAGCGTGCGAGACGACGTAGCGATGGTGACGGAGAATTGAGACCGGGTGGTCAGGTCATATCAAACTACTGGACAGACAATAACTTTTACTATTAAGTTTCAGCTCAATACTGAAATAATTATATTAGGATGTACTGTTGTTTCGAAATGCCACGAAACGCCATCTCTTGTTTGATGTGCTATTGTGATCATATATATGATTTGATCAAGTCAGGTTTTAGGCATGCTGGATGATTAACGAGGTTTTTCTTTTCAAGTGCGATATATCGTATTATGACATTTCGAAACGGAACATTTATAGATTTGGCTTTATTTTGCATTTAAGCTACTGGATAGTTTAAATAACACATACTATTAATAAAGAATTTATTATGTTAGAATAAAGAAATAATAAATTCAAAAATGAATAAAATCTATTGAGATTATCAATGCATGATAAAGTAGAAATTGGCACATCAATTTGGCACATCTTATGTTTATGAATTGAAAATATTATGCAAATACATAAACACGATCACCCTTGATCTCAAATAGACTCAATTTGCCTTGGTAAGGACGATGAAAAGCCTTCCACCGGTCCTGTACGTTAGGGGATTCCCAACTACCACTGTACCTTTGACAAAGCAGTTTCTCATTGTCGATAATATAGTGGTTAAAGCTTTACTCAGAGCCTTTAATTAGATAAAACGTGTCTTTATTTGACTGTCAGTATTATTGTTCAAGCTAGGCTTTCATTAATTGGGTTTGGTGTATTGGGAACATCTGGAGTAATTGTTGAATTTTCATCTAGTTCTACAGATTTCAGAAGTTTTTGTCCAAGAAATGTTAGAGATAGAAACAATATGAATGCGAATGCAATAATACCCAAGGACATACAAATAAGAAGAGTGGTCAAAGGTCGAAATAATGGCAAATGCCCCAATAAGCGACGCGGTCCCAACAATATAAACAAATGTTGCCAGAACAAGTCTGTGAAAATGGGTGCCGATAATTGACCCAAGTGGGGCCCCTATTACTACAATAGGAGCAGACACCACAAGATAGTTCCAAGCATCAGGATGTATCCCATCGTGCATCATGACATCTCGCCAGAAAAAGGCAAACAAGGTGTTACCTCCCATCAAGACAACAGAAGTTGGGGTGGCCGTTTTCTCTGTTACTCTGAAGACTAAGGTTAGAATGCTGAATGTGCAGATGTCCAGGCCACTGGCTGCTATAGCGGTGAAGTTACCTCCAAAGAATCCTGTCACTAACAAGAAACATATCTTCCAAACATTCACCCGGGGAATCGATAGGAATGTCCTACGTTTGTGGTAGCGATTCAGCAAAAACAACGCAAATCCAAAGGAAAACCATACTGAGACAAAAATAAATTTCTTCTGCGCAGGCGCCAAATAAGGGTCGATGAGTTCAAGGCCAAACACAACACCAAACACGCCACCTATTGAGCAGTTTATAATGGCAGTCCAGTCTATTTTCACCCTCATGAAGAATATTGTAAACGTTGCCGCTGTCATGCCACAACTTTGAACAATAAGTGAGAAATCTCTAGCCACATTTGGGTGGATGTTGAAAGCCAGGGTCATCACTGGGAAAGCTATTGCTCCACCACCTTCACTTGTCATACCTGCAAGAATGAAATATGGAATTTTTAGTCAGTTGTCGTCAGGTTAAGAATTGCCAACATAACTGCCAAAACCTGAAAAATCGGCAGTGTTCAAATATAATCAGTGAAAGTTACTGTTGAGAAATAGCAAGGAATTTAACACTTGTGGTTGACGAAAGAATTGCAGCCACATCTCTGCTTACAAATGATGTAAGGTTCAGTGTATTTTGAATTGGGCCATTTTTCAAATAAAAATGTGGAGATCTCAAATTATCAGCTTGAAGTTTGTGAAAACTTTTTGACTAAAACATCATTTACCTGCAATCAAAGAGCCAAACACCATGACAATTGACATGAAATAGTTCTCCTTGAATGTGAACCAAAGATTGTGCTTGGTAACAATGGCCAGCCAGAAGGTGATGAAGAATGTCATGGGGATGAGGATACCTAGGAGACGTCTGTGGTGAACTAACAGTCGCTCGGTGAACGACGCATCAGGCGACAACTCTGATACAACCTTGTTGTGATCATAGTCTAATGTCTGGCCTAAAAGCATATACACATATGAAAACAAAATGTAGTAAACAGGGGTAATCCTGTGCGTGGCAGAGTTATAAGCTTAGTTAAGTTATAAGCTTAGTTATTGTTAAAAATGAAACAACCCATGATATCATGTTCATCAAAGATCGAGCCTCGTAGGATATCGAAAACAATTCAGATGATTATATCTTGGATTATGAATATTTTCTAATTATGAAGGCAGATGTTTATTTTGAATTCATTCATATCTCAATTCGAGGAATATTGCTTGTGAAAGATGCATGTATTTACTTTCACCTCAATAGAATCAAATATTTGTAATTATTCTCCACATAGAGAATAGTCACAGTCAGAAACGTCAAACAGACGTGTTTGTTAATCACAATTAAATCGAATTCATTTTCACGGTTTCTAATGAAAATTATCATATTTCTCTGGAAATTTTTGACGACCACTTGCCTCGCCTGCCTAATCATTGCTAAGCCAATGATAACACTGTATTTTTTTTTTAATTGTTGATATAAGCGGTGTGTATTGTGATGAATTCTAGTTACCCCATGTGGTCTTTATTCTATTCCCAATCATTTTTTCGTATGGCCAAAAGGATTTAATATCCCAGTATTAGTCCATTTGTCACTCCTATGCATCCTATAGTGAACCTATGAATTGTTAAAAACACGATGTTTTTAGGTTAATTTATGACGATAAGGGTTGCCTGAAGAGATTTAGCTGGGTTGGACAAAACGTTAGTTTGGGGAAAAAATAATATTGGCTAATTAGTGAGGCCATTATTGAAATATTGATTGTTTTCTATATCCTGAAATGTAAAAATGAAAGCAGCATAATTACTTTGTCTAAACTTGTGTTTTCAGGGTTAATGAATGAGATATTGTTAAAATATACAAGAATAACCATAGCCGTCAGATCGGGGGGGGGGGGCACCCCCCTCTGACAACCCCCCCCCCCCAAAAAAAAATTGTTTGAAAAATATTTTTCTCTCTAATTATTTTTCCATTGACTCATACACTTTGAAAATGCCCAGAAAGCACCAAATAGCATCTTAAAATTGTAAAATTTTCTAGGGGGAGTGGGCCACCCCTCACACCCCCACACAGACAATTGAAAAGTTCTGAATTTATTATGTATTGTCTCAGACACTTTTAAAGTGCCCAGACATCATCAAATAGCTCCTTGATATAGTCAATGTTTCTTGGGGACAAACACTTGCTCCCGCTCTGGCATCCTCACCCCACCTCCCCCGGATCCCCCGTTGGACACCCCCCCCCCCCAAAAAAAAAAAAAAAAAATTGAAAAAATTATGATTGTTTCTAATCTTTATTATTGACTCATACCCTTTTAAAGTGTCCAAAAAGCACCAAATAGCATCTTAAAATTGTAAAATTTTCTAGGGGGAGTGGGCCACCCCTCACACCCCCATCTAACAGTTGAAAAGTTCTGAATTTATTTTATGTATTGTCTCAGACACTTTTAAAGTGCCCAGACATCATCAAATAGCTCCTTGATATAGTCAATGTTTCTGGGGGACTAACACTTGCTCCCCCTCTGGCATCCTCACCCCACCTCCCCTTCGCCCCCCCCCCCCCCTAAAAAATTATGATGTATTGTCTCAGACACATTTCAGGTGCCCAGACTTCATCAAATAGCACTTTTATATGGTCAATTTTCTGGGGGACAGATATGGGGAACAAACACTTGCTCCCCCCTTTGGCACCCCAATCCTACCTCCCCCTTTGGCAACCCCCCCCCCCCCCCCCTTTGGCACCCCCACAATTTGAAAAAATTGTGATTGTTGTTCATTTCTTTTATTGGCTCATACACTTTAAAAGTGAACGGAAAGCACCAAATATCATCTTAAAATTGTAAAATTTTCTAGGAGAGCTGGTCAGCCATCACATCCCCCACAAAACAATTGAAAAAATATGAATCTCATGTATTATCTCAGACACTTTTAACGTGCTCAGACATCATCAAATAGCACCTTGAATCGGTCAATGTTTCTGAGGGAAAACCCCTTGCTCCCCCTCTGGTATCCCCACCCCACCTCACCCTTTATCCTCTTTGACACCTCCCAAAAAACACATTTTCTATTGATTCATACACTTTGAAAGTGAAAGTAGGGGGGGGGGCAATCTCAGAATTAATCAGACAGCATCTTGAATTAGTAAAATTTTCCTGTGCTGCCCACTCGCTCCCATAAGAAGATATGATTAAAAAATCAGAATTTCTTTAAATTGATTCTATTGCCTTCTAGCACCCCCCCCCCTCCCCTATTCCAATGTTTCTCCAAATTGCTCATACAATATTTAGTCTAAAAACAATATGAAGACAATAAAATACTACAAAATAGGCTGCGTGACCTTAATATAGAGAGTAACTGACCCCCTCTCTCTGACTTATGCGCTTTGATTTACGCGGGAAAATGACAATTTCATTTTCTCTTCATTAAAAACTGCACCCCCTTGGAGAAAAGTGTCTTACGGGCCTGATAACTTATAAGATAGAGTGCATAATTGCAACTTAGCATGTTTTATGATTGAAATATTGCATTTATACAGATATTTTCCATATTAAGCTTGTAATACATTGAAAATTACTGACTAATTAAAGGTTTCTTTATTGATTTAATTGGGTTGCCAAAAAATAACTAATTCAGGGGAAATGATATATGTAAATAAGGGCAGCCATTATTAATGATAGCATCAAAATTGGTTGTGCCCTTACTATACCCATGTTTTCAGGCTCAATGAATAAGATAATGTAAAAAGATACAAGAATTATTTATTATATTTTAATGTACTACATTATATGCAAATTAGCCAAAATGTTTCAGGGTCAGCCAGACATACGGTAATGTTAAAAGATACAATGATAACTTTTTAGACATTGTGCATATATGCAAATTAGCATATTTATTATTGGTATTTCGCATTTATTCAAATTATTTTGTTTATCAAGCTTGCAGTACAAAGGAGTGACTAATTGGTGGTTTCCTTAAATTCTTAGTAATTTAATTGGGTTGCCAATTATTGAATTTCTAACATATCTTAGAAAGGAAAAATGATAGCCCTGGGACCTGGAGACCCATGTTTTTAGCTTCAATGAATAAGATAATGTTAAAATATACAAAAATAACTTATCAGATATTGTACATATTATATAGTATGCATGTTTAGCATATTTAGAGATATCAAACGTTTTGTATGATGAAAGATGTGTGTCATCACCAATAGAGACAAAGAAATCAATAAATTACTTGATTTATACAGGTGTTGATGTATAGAAAAATAATATAACATGAAACAAATCCCTGAATCACACCATGTGTAATTAATGAAGTATGGTTGGATGAGACAATGTGTTGGTGTTCTTAGCTATTATGCCATGTTACCACTATTCCACAGTTGATTTCATCGTTTGTAAGTTTATTACAAAATAGTATGGTCAATTGAGTCAAAGGCTTTCAAAAATCGCTTATATATCATGGTCATCTTCATTTGCATATATTATTTTTTCCCCAAGGTTGCCCTTTGTCCAACCCAGCTAAATCACTTCATAAAACCCTTATGATAGTGATTCCACAATAAAACATCGTGTTTTTACAGATTCAAAGGTTCAGAAAATGACACATCGACTATATCTGTAGCTCATATGACAAGTAATTGGCAAAGCAGTAAAGCCACCCATCACGGAAAAGTCCCTGCCGACATATTTTGCGCGAAAATATTTAGCGTTCGTGTCCCGCATTTTGTTATGACGTTGAATGCAATCAAACGTTTTCGATGTTAAATTTCATAATTCAAGTTTCCTGAAAATTAAATAGGATCTATTAGCTGTCCTTAAAAAAGTTATTTTATACTCACGGACTTTCAGATGAAATACGTTTGCCCTTTTGTTACGTTCTTTACTGACGAAAACAATGGCGTTATGTCTGGCGTTCTGTTCTGTTCCGGCGTTTTGAAAATGGTCATGCTTGAAAAACAATCGAAAAAGCCGTAACGTACAACAAACATTTGACGTCGTATCTTAACTACTTTGGATATAAATAAAAAAACACTGTCAAAATTTAGAAAACATGAATAACGTGGAACATAAATTAATGTTTCTATTTAATTCAGAGGGAATAATATTAATATACTAGCAAAATATATATCTAATATTTTTATCGAGAGAGAAAAAAACACGAAATGCATCCAATAAAATCTTGCAATGATCAAGCACCCTTTGATTAGTTAATATACTATATAGATAATTTGTTAAGCTTTTTCATTTTTTTCTGTTTAAGCTGTACACTTTGCCCAAATGTGGGATACAAGTATAATAAAGCTCATAATAATATATGTGGAAAATCAAACAAAACTTCAAGAAACAAATTAACCAAACTATTTTGATGATTATTGAAAAAAGATCAGCGTTGGCCTACATGTAGAATGACAACATACATACTGTAGATATTATAGCATACCTTCCCAGAAATACTTTTTTAACCAACTTTTCCACCCTCTTCCACCACTGATGCCCGTGGGTTCAGTATGAATCTCCACATTTACTTCATTAGTATTTACCGGATTTTTCTCAGCCATATTTATGTGATCCTCAACTATGAATGTAAGAAAATATCTGCATGTGTTTCTGACATGTATGTGGTAAACAACTGAGAGAGCATGGCTAATGATTACATTATTTAGATTTGAATTAGAATTTACCGACATAATATACACCGTTGCTCATTTATTTGGAATAATGCCATGGCGCCTGCAACGTCATAGCATTTGAAATTTTTTTTAGCAAAATACATTATTCACGAAAAATTGTAAGAATAACGATGCTATATATTTTCTGAACAATTTTCATTTTAAATTGTATCGCTAACAATAGAGGCAGATTTGTTGTCATGCGTAACCATGTATTTCCTCCAATATTGTTATGACTTCATAACGATTCGGAAAGGTGATTTTCCATTAATTTGAAGCTATCACTCAGTTTTGTTATAAAAAAGGTGAAAATATGATAAAATACAGAGTCATATGAGAAAACGTTCTTGTTCCTGTGCTATATCGTCCATTCTTGATGAACTTTGATATTTTTTTTCTTAATCGAGTCGCAGACGAGAAATAGAAACATTATCAAAGCGAGTCTTGCACAGGTACTCATATAAGAACCTCTATATGTTCATTGAGTTTTTGCATTTTTTGGTTGACACTGAAAAGCGCCATATAATCAGCGCTAATTCAACGAACAGTATATTTTGACCCATGAATAAGTAATTATAATGGAAAAGATGAGTAGTTCAGTGAGTTGCCATTGTCAAACAATAAAAAAACATATAATATTCCATATATTTGAGCAACGGTGTATTACTATTTAGTTAATTAAGTCAAATATCCGTATGTCATTAACAAAATTGTCCATTACGTACTTGATCAAGAACAAATAAATATTGTACTTTATACAAAATATACAGTGCATCAATAAAAACATTATATTCTCTACAACGCCTGGGTTATTTGGGACCCGTTGTTGTATTATATTGCTCGTAAAATTTAGTTATTTATATGATTTTTTGAAGTTTTAGGCATCAAATGATAAATAAACTAAATAAATATGTGTGTTCTTTTAAAGCACGGTAAATACTATAGTCCATATTAAACCATATTTAAGGTGGCTTATAATGCTGCTTATTTTTTCGTGAAACCACTCAGTAAAATTACGATTTCTCCGCACCCTGATGTCCAATCAACATCAAAGTCATACACAAAGTTTGCAAGCAAAATTGACGTAATTTATGACTGAAGTCGGGAAGACAAAAATATGTGATATTCTTTCAGTTTATAATAAGTATTTAGAAAAATGTTCCCGAGACACAAATCCAATAAGGTAAGGTTTGTTTTAAAGTCGGAAAGCCCCAATAAGACAATACAAACCAAGATAAAACCCGGAAGACTGCAGATTTCATGTAATGATTTACGTTCATGTAAACAAGTAAAGTACGTATAATCCCCATATTCCCAACACTGGACTACGTGACATGTAATAACATGTTCAAACTGAAATATAGAAAATTTTCAACGTAGCATTTGCTTCCGTGTACTGTATGCCACTCTACCTCTACCTCACGGACGCCCAAACGTGTCAGGAACACATGGATATTTGAATGATCTTGATTTGACATCAGGCTGCAGAGAAATCGCAATTTTACTGAGTGGCTTCACGAAAAAATAAGCAGCATTATGAGCAACCTCAAATATGGTTTGATATGGACTATATAGTATTTACAGTGCTTTAAAAGGCTAAACGCCTCGTTAACAATTATTTATTATACTGGACACTATGATTTATGAGATTTAGATTTTAGACATTTCATTTCCAGCATAATAACACTATAAGTTATTGAATGATTTGAATGTATTTGCAATACAGGATATATTCTGCTCGAGAAATTCTATATTGGAACGAGACGAAGTCGAGTGCCATTGTACTTCAAATCATTCTATAACGTTTTTTTATCGTATGATCTCAGGCCAATACATTTTACCTAGGAGATAAGCCCTCAGAAATATATATGTATTCTCTGTATTGCTACTGAGATTTTCCCTTCCGTAACAATATTTTCCGTATTGCTCCGGAGATGATCAAACGGGACAATCTCAGTAGCAAGATTGGTACAGCACGAGAACGGACCAATCAGAGAGCTTCATTTTACAGATCATACGATAAAGCCATTCACCAATACTAAAGATTCTATTTAATATAAAGATGGTGTATATAGAGATTATCCTATATGAGGTACCGTACGGCCCTCGGGCAGATATATATATTGGCCTCGGATAATCCCAATATCCTGAACCGACTATAGGATGATCTGTTTATCCCATATCAATCACATTGTTCAATTGGCCAAAGCTTTGCAATCAACCATGGAATCATTTTAAAATATTTTCCTGTTCAAATCTTTGATTATTGACGAGGCATACTGCT